CACGGGACCCTGAAGTTTACGGCTGGGTACTTACCTCAGTAGCCCTGAGGGGACTCGAACTGGTGACCGTTGGGGAGTAAACCCAAAGGCATGACCAATTGAGCAACCCCTCAGGGTTGAAACTCTACATTATCATTGATAAAATATTGCTAAACATAAAAGCTAGATGAATGCACAAGTCTGGGCATCAAATTTTGATCGAGTACCAATGTACCATTGACATATTCATACACATAAAAGAAAAGAAGAAGCAAAGAAACTAATATTTACCTTTTACATTTCAGCTAACATCGATCTACTCCTATATCTTCAAGTTATATATTAGAAAGTCAAGAGGATCCTATGCATCGTTCTTTATTCATTTGTTTTCAACAATTCTATAATTCTAAGTTCTAAATCAACTTCAAACGGACAACAATATCTCTTAAATTCCATAAACATAATTCCATCACAAGTTACTGGCATTGAGATTATGCAATTAAGAATATAATTAAACAGAACAGATACAAACATAAAAAGGCGTGGACCTGGCGAGGCGACGGAGAGGAAGAGGAGGAGGGAGGGAGAGCAGAGAGCGGATGAGATTCGGCGGGGACGCGCGGAAGTGAGTGGGACTGCTCTTCGGCTCGGTAGTCTCGGCGTCTGAATTCGAGTCCCATCGGCTTTTGATTCTAAACAGTATGTCAATAGAGAATCTCCCCGGTTTATGAATTCCTCTGATGCAGCGTTTTGGATAGTTACTGAAGCTGGAAGTGATTTTGACCTCGGAATGGCCTATAACTTTAGAGGAGGACCCAATTGCAATTTTGCAAGTATTTTAAATAGGTGATTATTTTTTTCTACTTTTTAACTATACATTTAAAAAAAATCACTTTACACGGCTGAACTTATTTTGATAAAGAGTTTGAAAATCTCGTGATTGTGTTAGGTTGAACTAACGAAATTGAGATTGGATGTCTTGGAATTTTAGTTGTGGAAATTACATGTAGGCCTATTTTTCAAAATCCAAGTTCAAAAATAACATTTTAAGTTTTAATGTGCAAAAATCAAATATTTTATAGATAGATACATATTTTTATATTTAATTAAATATTAATAATAATATTATAAAACATAAT